ACAATGTAGTACAACTAAACCCTGATGAAGATAAATATTACCTTCTCACCCCATACCCCACATTAATGCAATCACTCAAAAAATTTTCACCAGAAAGCTTTCGCGCTATTGCTCGAAACCCAAATATAGACTTACAATCAATAGGAATATATTCAAAGTCAGATATTCAACATCACATTCGAACACAACAATTCCAAGAATTATTAACACAAATGGACACTATACAAAGACAATCAATTGACCAAAACTTACGCAAACTTGCAGAAACCGCAGGATTTGCAGACATCTATACGCAAGACTATAGCGGATATTTTAAAGATATTAAAGATTATATATATCTAAACGGTGAAAAATACCGTCCCCAAGATATATCACCCATTAATATTTTTAGCTTTGTAACACTCAAAAATGAAATTCTTGATTTTCTAGGATGGCCCTACTACATCTTAGAAAAATTGACTATTTTATACGCAATGTTTAACTTTATTGGATTTCTTTTTTCACTTTTAAAAGGAATCTACAACACATGTGCTATACACACACAAGTAAACAGACAAGCAAGCGTAGCACGCATACTATTTGCAGGATTTTTTGGAATTTTTTCTACATCAATAAACAAAATTCTTTTAGATGCACAAATAAAAGAATACAACACAAAAATAGCTACAAGACAGAACACATACGACGAAGAACATAACAATGTAGACACAACGCCAACAGCACCACAGTTACCACCCCTGTCACATAACCATCCATTATCCCTAGTCCCACGTAATTTTCGAAATTTAGCCATACTACATAATCAAAATTTTCGACCAACCATATCACAAAGTCCCATCCAACATATAATGACACACCAATCACAAGATGATAATACTTATGAACAAATTATAGAACAACCCCATACCACCGCTTTTCAGTCTCAAAATAATAATTTTTTTAGCCCACGATGAGCCGACAACTTGGATCCCTACACCGTTCAAATTCCCACCCAACCAACCTCACTACTCCCATTACAATAATACCACTTTTTGCTTTCCCGCCACCCGATTTCCCAACCAGTAATGTAACATCAGGCATGAATTCCGATACTAATTCACACATCTCAGTTTTATACTCCACCTCACAACTCAATAACCCGAATATTGAAACCCCCGATGAATTTGCCGACTCTGAACCATCTCCATTCAATAATTTTCACACCAATTCTTCAAATTTTTCCCAACCCCCTTTTCAACCCATACTATCAAATAACCCTGACCCAATCAATTCTACACCCTCTTATGCTTCCCAAGTCACTCCAACCTACTCCTCACTTCATTCAGACCAATCATCTCATTCTCCAGATACCCCCCGAATCTCCCCAGAACTAGATAATTTTATTACCCTACAACAACAACCCTACCACCTTGACACCCCAACCATAAACCAAATTTCATCCACAATAGATTCATCCAACCCCCCTACCCCTACACCCTCTTCAATTTATACTGAATCATTAGCACCATCATCCACATCTACTGAATCTTCACTCAGCACTAATAGAGCTTACCGCACTTTTAAAAGAAAATTCCCCAACCATCCTTTCCCAGCAAAACCAGGAACAGCCCGTGAATATGAAAATCATCCAAATCACACTAACACAAAAGAATTTTTAGCTATCACCTTACCCTCATTTCCACAATACACCTTAAACACCCCTCACGACACTAACGAGACACGTAACTTTGTAGACGAATACGTTTTAATGCCTACTCTTTCTTGGACCTCATATTATCATTTTACTAATCCCCTTTGCTTACCCTTATCTAACACTCACATCGATATAGAACGAAATAAAAACATACTATATCGACTCACCACACCACTAACATCTAGACAATTTACCTACATTGGATATAAAAAATCACTAAAAACACACACTGCACCCCGAGCTAATGAATATACACTAGAATATTACGATCATAACATCATCAGAGCTAACCAAGATCAATTCTTAGACGACGATCGCTTCGCTAACCCACAAATCACCGAGAAATTTTTCATTAAAACACCATATGTATTTACACTAAATATCTTCGATCGCAAGTTTGACCACATTATTTCAGAAGCACTAACAGACACACAAGCCTACGAAAGTTTTAAAGAACGCTTCCAAACATTTTCACTAACCTTTCATTTCCTTGCACCACATGAAAGAGATTTGCACTGCTCACACGATATTATGTTGCGCACTAAACAAACACACACATATACATATTATCGTTTCATCCAAAATCACTTCGATCTACACACTCCCTCCAGACAACCACACCATCGTTTTCAATTCATCAATTCCAAATACACCTCACCATTCTTTCTTAACTTCACATATTGCATTAAAGATACTAACCTTCATGGTATTCTTCGAAATTATGATCCCATAACCCAAATGTATATTTTTTGTCCAATCACCAAGACCTTCAATGCAGAAGAATCCCGACCCTTCCTTATCCCACACGAATTTGTTCAACCTATAGAAATCCCCATTTTAGAATTCATCCACAACACTAAATTCAATCACAAATTATATAATCTAATCCAAAACACACCTTATGAGTTTGCAGTTGGCACTGAAGAACTAACCACCATTAAAGCACTTCAATTGCTTTGGCCACTGCTTCAAACTAAAAATATCATCCGCATCTTAGCTAAACTACTAACAACTTCCGATCTCATCCACGACATCTTCCCCCACGGTTTCTTCCCTGACGACTAACAGGTAAGTATGAATTATAGATATAACTAACTAATTAAAATATTAGAAACTCACCATTCTTTATCCACGTCTTATTTAGCATTTTAGCCTTCATCCAACGATCATCTGAAAAATTCACAAAAGAAAAATAAAAAATAGCAAACTTCTTCAAAAACTGTTTAAAACTCTATTAATTTTTTGCACCAAATAATTAAATAAAAATAATACCAATGCAATAATTTAATTTATAAATTTTTTCCCAAATGCAGTAAATCTAATAATGATGAAAATTTGTAACTTAATTTTCCCCAACAACTAGCAGTAAAATTGAAATTCTATGTAGTAAATTAATAAGAATCAAATGCAGTACTAACCTTTTGATATTTCAATTCATTCGCACAAAGATTCTCTCCACACTCGCACAGCTCGCCCACGAAGAATTGTTTAAAATAATGAATTTCAGTTTCAAGCTTTCACACTCAACAACTCTAACACACGATAACAAGTTTCAAACTTTCCTTTAACCCGGTTGGAAAGGAATTATATACTAAACAAAACTAACCAATGCAGCTTACTAAACATCACAACACATAGCATAACAGCATGACTAAGAAAAGGAAACCAACGGTACCCAAACCGGATTAACCCAGTTTAAAACTGGATAATTTATTCTTTTGAAGACTATTATAAAGTCTAAGAAAGAAATAATAAAACACAAAAAAGTCGAAAGACAAACCCATACCACAAACAATTTGATTTTTGAAAAAAGGACACAACCAACAAAACATAAGAAAAACCACAACAAACCCAACATAAAACGTTGTCACATAACAGGACCTCTCACAAAAACCGCATGCAATCATACTCCCACTCCTGGCCTAACCCACCAGAAGAGGACGTCCTGATCATGCTCTATAGCCGGCCTAACCCACCGTGCTACATCCACGCTTTGTGACCACACTCCTATTTTTAATAAGAGCTACTCAAGGGTGAGTAACTCTTCAAAATAACTGAACTAAAACAAAAAGCTTTTGTGAAAACAACTAACTAAAATCATAATTAAAAAATATTAAACTAATAAAAGTTTTATAAAATGTAAATTACATTATGCAATACATAGATCAGAATACAACACCAAGGACGAACATCCAAAGACAAAACGATCCCACTACACTCGAGAAAGAATGGCCAACTACAATCAATATGCCGCTCACAATCACAACTCAAAGGATTTAAAGTACGACTTGACTTCGCAGAAAAGGACTTCATTGAACTAGACCAATGACCACCTCGATGTTCAAGTATACGTACAGATCCGAGTAACCAGGCATCCCCTCCACGCACAATCTCCACGCCATTCCTAGACAAAATCAAAACTTAAAGAAGTTCTCATCAATGAAACAGAAAAACCTGACATAGCCAACCATTCTGAAATCAGATTTGAGTTTGTTGCAAAGACCCAGTCGTTGTCATGAGATGACACAACGATCGAACCTGGAACTTCTCTAACAAGAGAACCCAGAAGAAATATGATGTTCGCCAGAAACCAACGTCCATCATCCATCCTTCGAATTGCAGAAAAACTATTCTAAAAAACTCTGTAAAACCCGGATGGGTGGAACCTGATCTAAACTACATTTTATGATTGGATAAATTAGATATTTTACCACTGTAAAGTATTTGATATTAACCAATCATGATCCATCTAACTAACAATCCACTTATTTGTAAGTGCTGAAATTACTTGTAATTCCAGCACCAGAGAGATTTGAATTTAACTTAGAAATTAGTTGACTCTCCAAGAAGACTTCAGCAACCGCAATAAACCAGCATACCCTAGATCTATTGAGCCTAGCAGAGATTAGTTAAACAACCTGAGACTAGATAGTATAAGAGTAAGATTAGGATCGGTATTAGACTAAGAAGTTGCACGAATCTATCCGGCCGAAAATAAGATAGCGTGACGAGCAGACGGTGTACCCTATCCGAAATTACTCTATGAGTTATACCCATCAGTCCTAACTCATTTGCAAGGTAACCTGAAACTTTTCAGATCCTGTCGAACAGTTAGAAAAAATCTTGAAAGAATGGCGTATAATCTTTTACGTACCACTTCCACATTTTTGTACAAGCATTCTTAAATGACCACTCATGTTGGTCGTTAAAAATGCAACCTTTAATTCCCATTCTAATAAAAACTTTGTTTATTCGCTAATGTACATGTGCATTATTTTGGTGCCATGTGTGTGCTTATTTTGTGTACCCTTGAATGGTAGGTCCATGAGAGGAAGCGGATCTCACACAGCTGCTCGTCGAAAGGGAAGTAGGTTACAGTGGCCTGGCACTTGGTCTTCATGATCACAGGCACAGAGTAGTAGGTGAAGCCTAATAAAAGACAGGCATAAATAAACAGACGGTAAACAACTGTAGGCCACTCGCTTTTCTAAACAGAAAGCTGTAAGCACAAGTAAAATAAATCAGAGATAAACACCAGAACTTGCAAGGATTCCCACCTACGGCAAGGAATTAGGTCAAATATGTTTAAGCTCGCTCGGACCACCATGTGCTGTGATAATCAAGAATTTTCCCGAACAGCTATTTATGCATTAATTGAACAATTATTTTTTTCTTACTATGTCTTTTCTGTTGGTTGTTGATGTTTATCTATTTACCTGTGTACCCTACAATGAGTGGTAAGTTGGATGACCCCATGAACTCGAAGCTGGACAGACTGTTCACCACTACCATGTCGGGGACCCACACCTGTTCAAACACTAACTACTAAACACTACTTTTTCAACCACATTTATTGTATATTCCAACAAATGATTCACATTTTATTGGAGAGAACATATAACAACTTTTGAGGGAAGTTTTCGAGAGTATTCCCTAGTCGATCAAGGGAGGTTATCTTGCAAGATCTTGCAAGATTCTTGCAAAAGAGGGTTATCTTGCAAGATCTTGCAAGATGGAGGTTATCTTGCAAGATCTTGCAAGATGGAGGTTATCTTGCAAGAATCTTGAAAGAGGGAGGCTATCTTGCAAGAATCTTGCAAGAATCTTGCAAGATAACCATCCCAAAATTTCTGTCGAAAAACACAAAAAAAATAACAGAAATTAGGTGTAAGATCAAAAAAATTGTTTCTAGAACGAGATGCTTAACGAATAAAATTTCTTGAACGAGATGTTTCTAAATGCCCGCACCGAAGTTTCATGGATAATAATCGATTATAATGGATTTTCGTTGACTAAAATGTTGTCAATATAATCGATTATCATGTCAAATTTAGACCACATAATGGATTTTTAATCGATTATAATCGATTATTTTGGAAAAATTTAAATCCATTATAATCGATTATAATGGATTTTTATTGACTAAAATGTTGTCAATATAATCGATTATCATGTCAAATTTAGACCACATAATGGATTTTTAATCGATTATAATCGATTATTTTGGAAAAATTTAAATCCATTATAATCCATTATAATCGATTATAATGGATTTTTATTGACTAAAATGTTGTCAATATAATCGATTATCATGTCAAATTTAGACCACATAATGGATTTTTAATCGATTATAATCGATTATTTTGGAAAAATTTAAATCCATTATAATCCATTATAATCGATTATAATCCATTTTTGTTTTCAATATAATGGATTATTTTTTGTATATAAAATCCATGAAAATTGAATAAATTTTGTAAATAATTACTCTATTGATCCAGTTTTCTCAAGTCGGGTTCATGTTATCAAAAAAGCGCCCATCATAAATTGTTCTAGAAATTTAAAGAGCTTAAAGGGCTTCTATTTTTTTCTTTGAGTTTTGAAAGTTGAGATTTTTCAACAACGTCAGTGTTATTTTTTAATGTTTACTTGCGTTCATCTTGTGCTTAATCTTTACCTGTTTTTATTTCTTTAAATTTATGCTCTCAATTGATGTAAATTGTGTTTTTCTTATTTTGAGAGATTAAGGTATAACTAGTCGATCAAAACTTGAAGATAGCCGCCTATCACAAAAAAAGTTTTAAAAAAAGAAGCTTTCTGGGGGCAACCGCCTAGCGGGCTGTGTGTATGTATGCGTAGCTAAGATTGCTTCCTTCTTCCACGAACGCTACTTGGTTGTCTTCGCGTGTAAAGCTGTTTTTGCCCAAAAAAATTGTATCTTTAAAGATCTTGCAAAAAAAAGATTATCTTTAAAGGAGGTTATCTTGCAAGATCTTGCAAGAATCTTGCAAGATCTTTTAAAGAGATGCATCCTCTTTAAAAGAATCTTGCAAGATTCTTGCAAGATCTTGCAAGATAACCTCCCTTGATCGACTAGGGTTGTTTCAACCAACAAAAAAATACTGTTAAGTTGTTGATCCGAATAATATCGGGCGAATCGGTATTCTTGTTCGAACCGTTTGAAGTAGTTTTAGCGTAGTTTTCCAGTTTTTGGAGCTAAACCAAGGATAAATCTGAGAAAAATACCCCCAGAGTTGACACAACACCTCCAGATTATTGATAGTAGTTTTGAAAAGTGTTCAAGTTTGAGTTTAATCTAGACAAAAGGGACACATTGGAAACAACAAACATAAACTCCTCAAACTAAAACTAGCTGTATACAAAAAAAAATAATGAAAAAAGTTGCTCATAGTTTTCAAGGTTTATTTTTTGCCCAAAACTGATACCCCAATTTACCAGAGCCCAAAAATAGAACAATAAAAACAACAGAGGTAGAACAGTTTTTAAAAACAACAACAAGAATGAAATGTTGTAAACAACCACTCGAGTAAGGTAAGTTGCTGTACACCGGATTAAAGAAAAAACTTTTCAAACAAAAAATGAAAACATCGAAATATCGAAAAAAAATCAACTCTTTTTTTTCAGTTCTTTTTATGTGAAAGTCAATAAAGCAAAACTACAAAAAAGATGCAATAATGGGTTAACATTAAGATTATATACAATTAGTTGGGGAAGACTTCTCTCAATTTTTTTCTGATTTAGAAAACCGATGATATCCAGACCAGTTATTCTAAAATGTACTAAAATATCTTTTTATAACAATTTTTGGATTTCGATTAAAATAATACTACAATTTGCCCCTTGTGAGCTTTTTTGAGCTTCTGTAATTTGCCCTCATGTAAGCCAAAAAAACATCATGCGCCTTATTCCTTCCCACCCTTGTTAGGGGCAATATTCAGAACAGAAAAATAGTTGAAACTGAAATATTAGATTATAAAAATAGTTGAAGGTTCAACAATTTTAGTTTGAAAAATGCCTGAAATTAAAAACGAACATTTCAGGCTCTTAACATTTTTTTCAAACTCTTTTTGAAGAGTTACTACAACAATAGCGGCCTATTTTCCGCCGCAAATCTATTTTTCTCAATGTATCAATTTAAAATGGGAAACTAAAAAGAGTGAATTTCAATTGATATTAGTTAGTCTTGTTCAATTAGTTTGCATCAGCGCTATATCAGCAAAGGAGAATGATAAAATGTGATTCATACTAGCCGAAAAAGAATGAATGATTAAAACTTTTCTGTTTTTTTTTTGGTTTTAGGTAATCGTTTTGTAAAACAAGCCGCGCAAGGTTTACAAAAAAGGTTTAAGAATAGCTTTGAAATGTAATTTCGGATGATAACTTATTAAAGAATGTATTAAGGAAATAATTATTATGTTTTCTTTGTCGTTGAAATATGGAATTAAAGAACCTCAGTAGTAGAAGAATGAGCAGAGGTGGGGGATGTGGTTGCAGACCTCCATATATTAGGATAGGGAATAGAATATCCGGTCTGCAAGCTATGTTTTAAGATTGGTTGCAGGTTTCCTAATGTATTAAGATCTGAGAAAACTTACTGAAACTTGGTAATTTTTTTAAACTTACCATCTGAAGTTTGGTATCGTAATACATTGGGAAACCTATAACCTATCTTAATACATAGCTTACAGACCGATTGTTCTATTCTCTATCTTAATACATGGAGGTCTGCAACCACCTTAATACATTAATACCACCTTAATACAACCACTTTAACACAACCATCTTAAAACATTAGGAAACCTATAACCAATCTTAATACATAGCTTGCAGACCGAATGTTCTATTCCCTATCTTAATACATGGAGGTCTGCAACCACCCATCTCCCCCACATCTGCTCATTCCTCTACTACTAACCTCAAGTACGGAAGTTAAAATTTGTATTATAAAAAGTACTAAAATGTCTTTTATGTGGCTGCAATCTGAAAGCACTTATGAATTAGTGCAACTCAAATCTGGCACCATCAGTTCAAAACAAGAAATACTGAAAATCGGATTTTTTTGTTCCAGTTTTTAATAAAAAAAGATTGAAGATTTGGGCTCGGGATGTTTTTTTTTATCCAGGTAAGCTTCGAGCTCAAAATTATAAATTATTTGTCCGTGAGTAGTTTTGTGAAGTGACATGGGTTTAGATATTGCCAATTACGTATAATTAACACGCAACATCTTTGGCGCTATTGCCTCATAGGTGGAAATTTAATATGTCCTAGAAGCTTAATAGCCTACTCTGTTCCAAATTGACTAGAGTGGGCTATTTGTCGTAAAGGTTACGTTACTACTAGTAAATTATATCATTTTGGATTTTATTAGGCGTAAGGAAGATGCATTTTCAAGTATATGAACTCATTTTAATTTTCAATGCATTATGGATACAATCCTTTTTCTGACGTTTAGACAATTATATGGTTTGGTCTCACCTCTGTATACCATTGCTTGAGCAAAAGTTTTTTTTTGAAATATTTTTTCAGCATCTGCCTAAAGCTGACTAAGAAAATGGATCTGTGAAAATATTTTATTGCCGCCTTAATTATTACTGTTCAAACTGATAAATTCCTTAAGCCTTTAATTTGAAACGCGTGTGATGAAAGTTATTTTTTAATTTTTGACACCGTGTCACTAACGACACGCTAGACTCACGTGATAAGTTCTAACGCGCTCAGATTAAACAACAACAAGGCTGCTTGTATCAGGGCGCAGCCCTGAATATTCCGACTGCCTCTTAAGGTCTATGGAGCAGGAATACCATGAAAAATAAAATCTGATATAAAAGGGATTTTTTTTATTTGAGATATTTTTGTGAAAACTGTCCCCACGCAACATTTTTGATTTCTTTAGTTATAAAACTGAAAGAGATAAATTTCGCTTCTAGTAACAAATAATTTATGGCCAATAAGCTTCGGTCAACCAATTAGGAGCGATTTCTAGGACGGATTAAATCTCCGCTTACGAGTTAATAGCGCAAAAAATATCGCGCGTTAATTGTCCCAAATTGACCAAAATGGCATTTTTTAAATCCCCATAATTTTACAAAAATAATCACAGGTTAAACATTTTTTTGAATTCAAGCTCAGGTTAAGAATATTTTTTGAGTGATACGAAAAAAATTCGGTCACAAATGGCTAGTTGAAAAGTCAAAAATTGTCTGATGATAAAAGAAACCCACCCGAGCACAAATATTTCGTTACTTTCGTTAGGAAAGTCGGAACAATGATGCCGTAGTTTAAATTTATCTGATTGTTCCGAATTTTGAAGAGAACGGAACCTTTATGCTCGGTGTGGTTTTTTTATTCAGTCAATTTTCGCCGATCGAAATCATAATTTTTTTTGACAAAAAATTATATGTACCCCATTGAAGATATCGACTTCCTGTGTTCAAATCTAAAAATATATTTTACTTCCAATTATTTTTTCTTAAGTTCTGGGTGTTCGAAAATTGCCAAATTGG